TAGGGAAGCTATTACTAAGGATTAATTCTTCAGAGCATGCTAATACTTGCCTGTGAGTCACTGACTTTGAACAGTCCTGGTTCTGCTATGGGCTTGTGTGACTGTAGGTGGATGATCTCAACCTCTCTGAGAATAGTTTTATCTGTCAATACAGTTGGAATAATACTTTGTTAACCCCTAAAGAAAGTAGCAGGACACTTAATTGTATGGCACAGTAGCAATATGTTAGATCCCATGTGTACTGTTTCGTGTTAATTTTTTCTCTGAGTCACCAGTTTTTTTTTACCACCTATCACCTGAAGGTCCTGATAGTGACTTAATTCTACATATCTAAAGTGTAAGTCCACATTCATTTGTCTAGGAGCAGTGCATGGAAACTGACGTAGAATTATACAAGTACTGAGGTGTGTAATGGGTGTGATCTTATTGGACAAACATGGCAATGCAACTCCCAAACCCACCTATGCCAATGCTACATGACCCATGGATGTGATTTCCATTCATTCTGCTGCTGAAATTACTAATAGTGTCTTAAAGGTGTCAACAGCGTGATTTTCTTTGCACTTCACTAAAGTGATACTCACGGCAAATTGTTTTTTTAAAACCAAGCAACAATTCTGCTCTAATATTTAAATTGCTTCTTTGCAGAAAAAACTAAAATCACTATAGTAAAAACCTTCAATGCATCAGGTATGCCTTATCAATATCAAGACTTTCTTTTTTATAACTAAAGTAAAATTAAACAAATGGCTGGTGTTTATGAATTCTTTCTCTTTTTTTTTCTGCCTTTTAAAAAATAAAGTCTGTTCTTAATGAATAGATGTTTATGAACTGGGTACCTAATGTTGTACTAGGTGTTTGGGGCTATGTAATAATAATCAGACACAGTGTCTGCCCTCAAGAATGTTCTAGTCTATGGGGGAAGACAAGGCAAACAGCCATGAACATGCATGCAGATAAAGGCAATGATTACACAAGTCTTTCTGACACGGTTAAGAGGCATGGGAGATAGTTTATTGACTGATGAAAGAGTTAGAGGTGTGACCCTCCAACTCTTCAAATCAAAGACCCATAGCGTCTTGAAGGTGTCAAGTATCTGATGCAAGTCTTGGCACACAGACATGCTTAATAAAGGCTTCTGACTGGTTTAAAAAGGGGTTGGCAAACTATTGCCAATGGCTAAATCTGGCTCACTGCCTGTTTTTGTAAATAAAGTTTTATTGGAATACTGCCATGCCCATTTGTTTACATATTTTCTATGGCTACTTTTCCCCTACACAGAATGGTAGAGTTAAGTAGCTACAACAGAGACCATATACTCCACCGAGCCTAGAATATTTGTTATCTGACCCTTTACAGACAAAGCTTTCTCATTCAGGATTTCAGGAACAGCTGTGGCCTTGTACTTGGAGGAGATTACAGATAACAGTCCTAGCCGTAGGAAAGAAATTTCTCAATATGAATGAGCAAAAAAATAGATGTCACTGGAAATGGAGGAATAGCTAAAATTTAGAGAAAGATGAGAAGAGATGGTAGATTGAAAAGCTTAGCGAGCAATAAACCAGTGGCTTAAAAGACATTTAAAGCATAACTACCCACCATTTATATATTCTATAATATTTTCATAGTATATATGTTATAGTGAGTTATATCTATAAGCAAATATATTTAACGTTTTTTTCTTATGGCAGAGAGCTCAGGTGCATGAGAGAGAGAGAGAAACCATCTTCAACAAGATGTTGTCAGGCTGTGCTCACCTTTTCCCAGCCCTCCAGCTCCTTAGGCTCCTGGGTGCCTGTGCTTGAGCCTGGTATGTTTTCAGGCCGACCCTGAGATCCAAACCCATGGTCGGCCATGTGGCTTCCAGCACTGCAGTTCAGTACGTTACGGACTGTGTCACCTAGGCTGGGTCAGAAAGTATATTTAAATTGAAATCTTTCTCTTTTGGTGTGGGTAACCTTACTATGGAACAATATGGAAATTGGAAGTCAGGTAACTTTGGGTGCCTAAAGTCAGTTTGTTCACAAAATCCAAACTCTCAGCTGAAACATGATATCTATACACGGGTCATTCTGGCAATCACATGCTGTAGCTCAAATTCTAATTTTAGTCTGTATGCAAACTAGTTTTCTCGTAGGAACAAACTAAGGAGTCATAATATGCAATGGAAATAAACTGGCAATTGGGCATTGCGTACATAATTGTGACCAAACGAGACCTAACAAGGAAAACAAAATATTCCTTAATATAACAGTCCTTTTCCCTGGCAGTTTGCCTAATGCGTTAGTAGCATTGGCCCCTCCCATATACTCTGGAGTTCTTACACTTCTCCAAAAGGGTGAAATTAATAAAAGAAAGATTCTTAAAAAAGTAAAACTTTGAGCTCTTTTCCAATGGAGGGGATACACTTCTCCTTTCTCAAGGAAAGTGTCTCTCAGGTGAACATGTACGAGGTGTTTTGTTCTAATGTGGCTCGTTTCATCTCCCATTCATCTCTGCCTCCTTTGTAGGCCTGTGTGGTCTGTTGTCTTGGTCATCACTACCTTTTGCCTTCGTAAAATCTTTTTATTGGCCAGTATCCTCCACTAGACTGTAAGCTCCTTTAGGGGCAGGATGTCAGGACCCTCCCACAGCCTATAGAATATGGTAGGTGTTCAGCAAAGATGTTTTGAATTTCGCAGTTTGAGCCCATGAAATTATATCATGACATTAAGATTATGTCACACATGCATTTGCATGAAGATCATGTCATACGTGCATTTGCATGAAGAGTGCATTTGCACTCCAACGTTAGAGTGTTCCCACACTCTCCTCTCTGGGAAAGGGAGGAGGATCTATGATTAGCAGCTATTTCATTTAAAGTTTCTATAGGGGTTAATTGGGAATGGGACAAAGAAATTGTAAGGCAGAGCTGAGAGTCAGAGACTGACATAATAAAGAATAGTAAAGACTCAAGTTCCATAGCTCACCAACCAAGAAATGAAATCGCTCTCATTCCTTCAGTGTTTGTGGAATTCATCCTGCCAGTTACTGAGTTGTCAGAAAAGTCACGACACATTTTTGCATAGAAAAACTACGTCATGACTTTTCCGACAACCTAATATCCAGCTTTTAGTATATTTGGTCCACATTTGATGCCTGAATTTGTAAATTTTTATGACAATGTCGTATAGATGTACAGGTGTTGACATGCTTAACCAGCTAGATTGTGTTTTCTTTGCAGGAGTCAAACCCCAGAGAAATATCTGCAATTTGTCATCCATTTGCAATGACTCAGGTTAGTTTCTGTGTACATTATACATCACCAAACAAATCAGCTTCATAGAGAAAAATGGCTTGTTTTTCTCCTGTATGCCTCTCCAATGTGTCTCTTTTCATACCACTTGGTTACCAAGAGTCCCTAATGAAAACAAAGCAAATTTTAGGTCTGGCTGATACTATCTCTTCATTGTCTAGGGAGAGAGGAGGTTAACTTCCTTAATGTGAGACGTGGTGCTCTCCAACAAGTATTCTTCAAGGTAGCTTTAAATTTCTAACATAACTGGTACCCTTAGCGTGAATTCATGAACATAATTAATGAAATAGATTATTATTGAAAATCACTGATGTATATACAATCCCTCAAGCTTTTCTATGGGACCTTAGGAATTATAGCTTGGGAGCCAACAGGTGGCATGGTGGTTGGAGTGCTGGATTCCCACATGGCCACCTGCAGTTTGAGTCCCAGGCCTGGCGGCTTGCTTTCTCATGCCCCTATCCCTTATCTCTAGTTAAAATAAAAAATAATAAAGGCGCTGGACTCCCACTTGGCCGACCACAGTTCATGTCCTGGCTCTGGTGGCTTGCTTTCACACTTTCTCCCCCTCTCTCTGATCTAACTGGAAAATAATAATAAGTTAAATAAAATAATTCTTAAAAACATAATAATAACAATAATAAATAATTATTTTTTTTAAAAAAGAATTATGCCTTAGAAACAAGATGTTGTTTCTTACCAAAAACAAAGCAGATTGGGACCCGCAGGTGGTATGGTGCTTGAGGTGCTAGACTTCCACATGGCTGACTGCACTTTGAGGCCCAGACCTGGTGGCTTGCTTTCTCACTTTCCTTCTCTTTCTCTCTCTCTCTCTGTTTCTCTCTGATTAGCACACATGCCTGATAGCAAACTTAAAATAATAATAATAAATTAAACAAACACCTTTTTTATTAAAAAAAATCTTGTCTGTTAGAATGTTGTTTGAAAAAAAAAAAATACTTATTGGATGCTTTTCATTTTTATATACTGAATAACTCTTTTCCCCCCCTCTTTTTCCTCTTTACTCTTCTCCTTCTCTTTATTGCATTCCCCATAATGTCATTATTTGTGTACTTCATCTATGTTCTGGACTGATGACTAATGTCTAGTTCAGTGTTGTGTCTACATGATGTTTGATATCTGTTTGAAAATTGAACGTGTAGTCAAGAAAAAAAAAAAAACTGTTCATCTTGAGTGGCAGATGCCAGAAAGCTGGTTGGAGTAATGTTTTTCCCAATTAAGTGACTGAATTGACCATTTGTTTCAGTGCCCGGTGAAAACAACCTCATCAGGGAACCAACTCTTGTGGTACCAGAAACCCCATGATATCCTGCCAGAAACTAGAAATTCTCAGTTCTTCAGGTTCCAGTCGGGTTCAGAAGGAAGTGAAGGCTAGTGAAGAAACTAAGAGCTGGCCAAAAAAGAGTTAGGCCGAGGGTCCAGAGGCACTGGCTTCTGGGTTTCTCTGCTACCACTACTGTGCTCCCAACACATTTATGAAACTCAGTGTGCGCTCAACAGGAATGTAAGAGAGAGAAATTGGGGATGTTGTACCATGCACACACGCACACACACACACACACACACACACACACACACACACACAGACAATTTAAATAAGCTTTTTGTTTTAGAGGTTTTTGCTATAGGGCACGTGCACTTGCCAGAAAGATAGAGACAGAGAGACAGAAAGCGAGAAATCACCCCCCAGCGGGGATGGCCACACCGCAATCCCTTCTCCGTTCTCCTCTCGGGATCTTTGGCACGCACCTGGCGTGAGTTTAAGCCACCGGGTCCGGGACTGGAACCGTGGTCAACTACATGGGAGTCCAGCGACACAGCCGTTACGATAACTGCTGGTTCCTAAGTAAGCTTTTAAAAAGCTTAAGATTTTAAAAAATGGTTAATTCAATGCAGATACCAAGTAGTTTTTAAAACCATTTTTAGAATTATTTATTTAATTTTACTTATTATTATTATTAAATTTGCTATAGGGCACATGCACTCACCAGAGAGAGAGAGAAAGAGAGAGAGAGAGAGAATGAGAAAGCAAGCTGCCAAGTCCAGGGCTTGAATCATGGTCAGCCATGTAGGTGTCCAGCATCTTAACCACCATGCCACCTGCTGGCTCAAATAGTGTTACTTTTAATAATTACATATTGTAGGGGCCAGCAGGTGGTGTGGATGGCCAACTGCAGTTTGAGTCCTGGACTCAGTAGCTTGAAACTCAAACTGGGCACATGTACGTGCATGCCCAAAATCCTGAGAGGAGAATAGAGGAGAAGGGACTGTGGTGGGGTCATCCCCCCAGGGAGTGATTTCTCACTTTCGGTTTCTCTCAGCCTCTCTCCAGCAAGCACAAGTGCCAATATTTAAAAAAAAAAAAAAAAAAAAAAAAAAAGTATCAATTTGCAGAAGTTGAGGTTCTTTGTAGAAAAGTTGCTGAAACAGATCATGTTGGTTGCAAGTATGGTGGCCTGGTTGGCCATTTTTAAAGTGGAAGTGGATTACCAGGTACATGGCTATGGGAATCCATTGTACTTTGAGATGCAATTTAAAAAGATGAGATGAGGAGACCTTCAACCATCTGACTCAAGGGCTGGCAAACGACTGCCCCTCATCCAAATCTGACCTGCCGACTGTTTTTATAAATAAAGTTTTATTGGGACACAGCCATGCTCTTTCATTTATCTATTGTTTATGACTGCCTTCATGCTAAATGGTAAAGTTGAGTAGTTGCAACAGAGACCATATGTCCCACAAAACCATAAGTGTTTACTAACTCATCCATCACCAAAAACATTGGCTGAACCCTGGTCTTGCTGATATGACATCCTTGTCCTATTGCTCAAGAGGCCAGTATTTGGTCCCTGTAGATTATGATGTGCACACCACATACCTCTATTTTGGAGTCTCTATTTTGTTTGTTTCCAGAGAGAGTCCAAGCCCATAGAAGTATACCCTGCAGAAAATACATAGAAATCATGTTCAATATTTCCCAAAGTGAGCATTTTCAGAACAGAGTTTTCTGGCATTTCTGGAGTGAAAGCCACAATGGATTTCTCAGCTAAAGAAAGGATTTGCCCAGCACACTGCTCTTCCAGGGCATTTGGCAGTGATATTTTGAACACAAAAAAAACTAAGCAAAACAAAAACTGGCAAAGAAAAAATAGAGTTCTGCAAGGCTGCTTGCCTGCTGAGAAACTCTTTCGCCACTCTCTTATCTATATTCCTGCAGCTATCTATAACGAGTTAAAAAGACTTTTTTTTTTTAAGTTAACATTGCTACCACATTCCCCCAGATAGCATCTTTAAAGAAAATAAAGTTCTGATAATTGCTTAGGAATAACGTTTCTTGACAAGGAGACAAATTTTTCTCTCTGAATTCCCACATAAAATTTATAGTTTATATTTTCTGAAAACTATATTGATAATCATTGAGTAACTTATTGATAGAAAAGAATGTGAACAAAAATTTAAAAAGTGATGAAACTTTTTATAGAGAAATTTGATAATTTTTTATATGCTGTATTACTCCTCAAACTGTAAGGATATAGGTCTCACGTTTCTTTTTGAAAATTTATTTTTAGTGTTTTTTAGAGGTGAGATAATGTTTCAAAATGACGAAGAAGACAATATTACCAAGGTAGGTTTTAAAGATTTTTCTTATTGCAGTCTTAAAAAGAAAATTCGCATGTAATTCAAAATTTGTTTAAGGTTCAGATTATTTATATCATCTGGCATATTTACTTTTATGACTACATTTAAATAAAACATGTATTGTTGAATCCCTAGCTTTTTGGGAAGGACTTAAATTCATAATAATCGTGATATTTTGTTGATAACTGTAATCATTTTAGGTTTCCCTAGATTTGCTGCTGAACAAGAATGTTAATAGGATGGAATTATATTACCAGTTAAAATTTATAATTATATCAGAAACTCCTAGCAACAGGAAATACAATGCACTGATCTAAGAATAGTCTTCTGAACCTGATCCTTCTGCTCACCTAAGGGATTCACACGCAGTGGTATCAGCCTGCCCATAACCTAGACTGGTACAGAGGATCCTAGCCAAATGTGGTTTGTTCGTTCAGTGACCAGTTCCTAAGCACGTGCTGTGTGCCAGGCATGGGCTGAGTGCTAGAAATATAGCGTGCCTGTCATCAAATTTCCCTTTTTACTTTGGGGTCTATTATTTAAATCTGGGACCTTTCATGAAGAGAACTTTAATAGTTTTTCTGAGGGGGTAGAAATGAAGGACAGAAGTTAGCACATAAGAGCTATTGACTCAGATTTTTTTTTTTTTTAAGTTTTTGCCATAGGGTGTGTGTGCTGGCCAGAGAGACAGAGAGAGAGACTGTGAAAAATCACTCCCCGGGGAGATAGCCATGCCACAGTCCCCTCTTTCTCATTCTCTTTTTGGGATTTTGGGCACACAAACACACATGCCTGGCATGATTTTCAAGCCGCCAGGTCTGGGACTTGAAACATGGTCGGCCATGTGGGAGTCCAGTACCTCAACCACTATACAACCTAGTGGCCCCCAGCAGAATATTTTTAAAAGAAAACAAGAATAAAAACCGGCTCAGCCAATATGGATTAACTGCTGAGAATGCCTTTCTCCTTGTCTTATCTATATAGCTGTAATTTGACCATTTGATAGATAGTTCTCTATGCAGTTGGGATTCAGTCTCTGGGATTCTTTGGTTCTTTGTTTAGCCAATAAAACTAAAGAACAAGAATTTTTTCTTAGAGAATATAAAAAGCAAAACAATGTTTGTTTTATTCTTAATGATTTTGTGCTTCTAACAGATTCAAGATATAGCTAATGGCACCCTAGCTGGAGTGTTGTCTCTAAATGAATTGAAGTGAGTAATCTACTCTTAAATGTAAAGCTTTGGACATCAACTATGGAAAGATATTTATTGGGTTATCTGTGTTTTTGGAAATCAAATAGAGGAAAGAAGATAGACCCAAAGGTTATAGAGCTCATTGTTTCTTGATTCCTTTGCAACCTATTTACAATCATCTGTCATTAGCTAATATCCCCGCAAGGCTCTTCTCTCTGATGTCCTGGATCGATGAAAAAGCTTCATTTTGAATTGCTATTTGAGTTGTAATAGGATTTGGGATCCGGCTTGGTTGAAAGAAGAGTTCAGGGTAACCATGTGTATACCATTCATTCATGCTCTCATGAAGCATCAGTGATTCAACAGAGAGAGGCCTACAGTAAGTGGACTTGGCTTATAAGGACAAGCATAGACAAGGAGGAATGACATTATAGAGGCTCCGGGTTAGACTGTAGTTGAAAATGTCAGCCTGCAAGGGTGGCCCACTCTTAGCTCCTTACTATCACTGCAAGGGGCAACTTCACGTCTGGCTCTCACAGCAGGGATGCAGCCTCCGAGGTGGAATCCAGCTACTTTTAACCTTGTTACTCCTTTACAAAGAGATTATTGTAAACCTTTGAATTAAATCTGCTCTGGTGAGTGGCTATGATGACACTGAAAAGACTACTCTGGGTAAAAAAAAAAAACAAAAAAAACACCACCTCTTCTTGTGGGTCATCCTTTGAAATGAGCAGAGAGGAACATCGTGATTCCATTTGGCAGATATCAGGCACCCCAGGGCCTACTGAGTACACAGTGGTTACATTGTTTAACTAGTGAGACTGCAATCCGGGTAGGGTGCTGTTCAGATTCTATTTGAAATTCTTATGACAATTTAGCTTTTCAGTTTAACTAGTGAGAACTGTGATCAGGGTAGGGTGTTGTTCGGGTCTTACTTGAGATTCTTATTATGAAAATTTAGCTGTTCTAACTGTTCAGCGTTATAGATGTGTAATGAAAAACAAGGTATCAATGCCCTGGGAGGAAGGATTTTAAACTTCAGATGGACGATAACTGTTATAGGAAACATTTTCTTAAAACTCACAAATTTCAAGTAGAGCACAATTTAGCATACTTGTAAGTAATTGTTCATAATTACTAGCCTATAAATAGACCTGAGTTCATTTAAGGTCGCCAAGCATTTGTTGAGCACCTACTATCTGCTGGGCCTTGGGAATATAAATGGTTATAAACTCAACTGTCCGAAATAAAAAACCCAGTCTAGAGAGGTGGTTCTCACCCTTGATTGCAATTTTTTTTTTGAGAGGTTTTTGCTATAGGCATTGGTATTTTTTAATGTTCCCAAGTGATTCCAACATGAGACCAATTTTGAGACCCAGGGTTCTAGAGTCTGATGAGAAAGACACAGGATGCCAACAAGGGATAGGAATGGAGTGTGATCCCTGTGATGAAGGTGCCTTGTGCAGGGTACCCAAGGATCTTCTCACAATCTGAATATAGAGCAGGAAGAACAGTTAGACCTCATCAGAGGGGTCAGGGAAGTCCCTAGAGAGAAAGTGACTTCCGAGCAGACTTGTGGAGGAGTGGTTCCTACTGGCTCAAGGAGCTAGTCATCTCTTGCCATGCTTTTCTTCGTCTCCTTCCAGTCTTGGCCTGGAGCCATCTAGAACTATTGCCCATTCCTTGGAGCAGGGTTTCTCAACCTCTGTACTACTGACATACTGGGTCATCAGAAAAGTTATGGTGTATTTTTCTATGTAAAAATTCATCATGACTTTTTCATAATTTTATTCTGTGGGGCTATGCTGTGCATTATAGGATGTTTAACAGCATTCCCTGGCCTCCATCTATTAGATGTCAGTAGATGACCCAATAAAAATTTTCTACAGATACTGCCAAATGTCCTCGTGTTGAAAACCACCGTCCTAGAATTCTTTAACTAGACTTCTTTCAGCCATTCTCCATGTGAGGCTCTGGCACGTTGAAGAAATCAAAATGCTATTGGGATGTGATCCCAGGAGAGGCAGGTGGGCCTGGAAAGTGCTAGAGAGGGCAGGTTGGGTCAGTTAAAGGGAGAATGAGGAAGAAATCAAAGGCACTAGGTCCCTAGGATGAGTGGCTTGCCCTTCTCAAAACTCTCTGCCTCAAGCCTCCTCTTCCTGAGGCCCTCTTCCAGAAGAAGCTACTCGAGGGTTATAGTAGTCCAAATAGAAACAAGAGTGTCCCGTCAATACCATACACCTTGCTCTTGGCTAGAACGCATACAGCTCCAATCTAGTTAGTTTCACTTATTGGAGAAATAGATTATTTTCCCCACATAGGAGTCTCGTATATACTTTTTTTATCTCTTCAAAGTGAACACTGTAAGCAGTGATTATCAAGTGCTTTATTTAACTACTAAAAAAAATCTAACTTATTTTAAATTTAACATCACTAATGGCCTCTTTAACATCAGTTTCTTCATTTTATATTACAGACGATCAGAGCTTAACAAAACCCTGCAAGCCTTAAGCGAGGTAATTATACTGCACTCTGTACCTTGTTTATAATTATTGTTACTGTTTTGGGGAAAGGGTGAGTTTTCCATTCCTGGGGAGCTTTGTCTTCAAATTCCCCCAAGTCTGTCATGTAAAGAGTGAATGGACCAGTTTCATTATTCAATGAATGAATGAATAAATAAATAAATAAATAAATAATTAAAAATCAGAACTAGAAACAATGGATGAATACCACAAGGAGATAGATTTTCCTTTGTGTAAGACCAAGAATTCAATAAAATGAAAATTCCAGGAGAATGAGCTCTCTTGTGTCATAGTAAGCTCTTCGACACTGGAGTATCTGAACAGAGCTTGTATGGCCTGACGATTCATTGAGAATCCAGTAGGAGTGGGAATTAGATGATCCTAGGGGTTCTTGTGGTTCTAGATTTCTCTGATTGGCCTCGGGTTGTCTTTTCTGACATTCCCAACGGTAAAAGTTACATACATATTTTGTTTATTTGTTTCAGACTTATTTTATAATGTGTGCTACAGCAGAGGCCCAAAGGTCAGTCCTTTCTAATACTTTATAAATATCATGATTTCTCCATTTGTAAGAAATAAAGTATTAAGGAGTCTTAGTTATGTTGCAAATTCAAACACATCCCTCTAAAATACATGCATGTTAATGACCTTTTAGACTTACATATTTTTATTTTTCCTAACACTGATCATTCTGTCACATCCGTCTTCTCCTCTCTTTATGAGCACAAAGGTTTCTGTGAGGCTAAGGATCATCAGTGTCTCTACCCTGAGGACCAACAATATGATCTAGAAGTGGCCACCATGATCTAGGCAGAGTGATCCAGGCAGATAGAAAAGAAGGAACAGAATGCAGAGCTTAAAAGAAGGAGAGAAAAAGGAGGTGAAGATTGGAAAAAAGGAGAAGAGAAGAAATTTAAAAGTATATGAATATATAAATCAGTGATTGCCTAACAACTATTTGGGATTGTACAAATTATCACTTCATTTTACTTTACTTTTTTAATTGCCAGAGGCCGTGCGCATTTGCCAGAGAGACACACAGAAAGAGAAAACACCCTCAGTGGGGCATGATCACTTCTCAACACCTTCTCCATTTCCCTGTCCTCTCCGCACACACGAATGCCCAGCATGTTTTTCAAGCACTGAGGCCAGAATTTGAATTGCAGTTGGTTGCGGGATCTGACTCACTTAAGCACCAGGCTATGGGGCCACCCCAGATTACCATTTTAAACTGGTCATTGACTGTCCTGGGTGCATAAACCTATGGATTATAATCTCACCTGAACCTCGAGTGTTAGTGAGCATCCAAGTCCTGAAAAATGACAGTTTTCATTCATCAAACTATTCTTGGTTGCAAATGATGGCAAGTCTTTCATGAAGTTGTAGCTCAAATCCCTATCTACTACATGTATTCAGTTCATTTCACTTAACCTCTTTTTGTTATTTGAAACATTAATCTTTTAAACCTAAACCAAGACTACAATAGAAAAACAAAACAAAACAGAGAATGTCTTAAATTTTTAGTTATCTGATCTTGTAGGTGGAATTGCCAAAGAGATTGGATTCAGGAAAGCATGGTGTTCAATCTAGGCTGGTGTGTGAAAGGGCTGCAGTGATAGAAACTCAAATGCCTGTAGACAGCAGGCAAGTAGCCAGCCAACCAAAGATGTAGAGACATTTGTCTTTGCAACCATTTCACTCCTGCCTATTCATTGTGCAAAGAGGCAAAACGACCCAGCAGCTGTGTGTGGTCAGAGTATCTCTGGTTTGAAACCTCTGAAAATGGGAACCTCTATAAATGTCTCTTAGTACAGAGTGTTTGAGGAAAAGTTCACACCATGGTAAATGGCTGTTGACAAGCTCATTGGGGTGACATTGCAAATTAACAACGTCAGTGTGCCCTTTCCTTACTCTGAGTTTGCAAAAGCAATTACAAATATGTTGGTAGGTTGTCAATTCCCTAACATTCTAGTTATACATGTTTCTCTCTACAGCACATTAAATTGTACCTTCACAATAAAACTGAATAAGACAGTGAACGTATGTGCTGTAATGGTTGCTTTGGAAAGAGTAAAGATTCGACCAATGGGTAAGTTATTGCCATCTTTATCGCTGTGTTCATTTTCACGTGACTTAGGTGTGTGATTTTTTTTTTTTTTTGAGAGATTTTCGCTATAGGGCGCGTGCGCTCGCCAGACAGACAGAGAGAGACATAGAGACAGAAAGCAAGAAATCACCCCCCCAGGGGGGGATGGTCACGCCGCAATCCCTTCTCCTCCATTCTCCTCTCGGGATTTTGGGCATGCACGCACACGCGCCCGGCATGAATTTTAAGCCACCGGGTCCG